TCTGTCAGATGACATCTCTACAACGAAAGAAAAGATGCAGCAGCTTAAGGATACTCTCACGGCGGGCGGTTTTAATCCGAAGAAATGGATTGCAAACGCTCCGGACTTGCTCAAAGATATTCCCGTGTGCGATCAGGATCCTTCCGCGATCCTACCCGTCGACGACTCTACGACGCATTATACTCTCGGTATTCGTTGGAATCGATCAAGTGACAGTTTCGTGTTCTTCGTCTCTTCGGTTCCGCGCTCAAACAACGCTCTCACGAAACGCTCAGTACTCTCATTCATCGCGCGGATCTTTGATCCTCTCGGCTGGATCGCACCGATTATAATTACGGCAAAGCGATTCATGCAACAACTGTGGGCAATACGTCTCGACTGGGACGACGAATTACCGGACTCGCTCAAATCTCAGTGGATCGAATTCATACAGCAACTCGAAACCGAATTGCATGGCTTCTCAGACGATTCTCAACATGCAATTGCCGCGGTTATCTATCTTCGTGTCGTGCCCTCGGCACTCCCGCCGGCATTCATGTGACTCTCGTTAGTGCAAAGACAAAAGTGACTCCGCTCAAACGTGTAACGATTCCGCGACTCGAATTATCAGCTGCCGTGCTCCTCGTGAAGCAGCTTCTCAAAATCCGCGAAGTTCTCGATTTGACTCAAATGCAAGCGCATCTCTGGACTGATTCCACCGTCGCGTTAACGTGGATCAAAAGCCATCCATCGAGATGGAAAGAATTCGTGCGAAATCGTGTCGCGTTCATACAAGAACTCTCAAACTCTCGGTGGCACCACGTCTCAGGGAAGGAGAATCCTGCTGACGTGGCGTCGCGCGGCACATCACCTCTACTCCTCCAACAAGATCAGTCGTGGTGGTATGGACTTCCGTGGCTGCAGCAACTCTCGACCGCGTGGCCAGTCTCGAACCTCTCGCTCGACTCCAACGCACATCTCGAAGAACGAGCACGTAACTGTGCTATCGCGATCGTGAATCCAAAGCCAGATATGAGGGGTCTCATAAAACGATACTCATCTCTCACTCGACTGATCCGCATTACCTCCTGGATTCTACGTGCGATCGAGCGCTTCCGACACTCGAAGACTGTGCCTGCGTCGCAAGATCCTCTCACTGCATTGGAGTTAGAATCGTCACTCCTCTTTTGGGTCAAATTAACGCAACACGCTTATTTCTCAACGGAAATTCGACTCTTGCGAGGAAATAAGCAGCTGCCGAAATCCAGCTCACTGTACCGTCTCACTCCATTTCTCGATACTGAAGGGCGCTTCCGTCTACGAGGACGCCTTCAATTATCTCAGCTGGATCTGGCGGAGAAACATCCATTGATCCAACTACGCAGCTCTCGATTGACGGACCTCATAATGGATTATTATCATAAGCAGACATTACATGGCGGACCACAACTCATGCTCTCGGTTATACGCCGCAAATTTTGGATTCTCGGTGGTCGCCTGCCGGTTCGCTCGTTCATCCATCGATGTGTAACTTGTACACGTCAACGAGCAGTTACCGGACTTCAACAAATGGGACAGCTTCCGGCCTCTCGTGCAACTCCATGTCAACCTTTTTATCATACCGGGATCGATTATGCCGGACCGCTAACGCTCAAGACCTTCTGCAGACGAGGTGCAAAAACTTATAAAGGATATTTCGTGATCTTTATCTGCTTCAGCACCTCAGCTATGCATCTCGAGGTGGCGACAGATTACTCGACCGACGGATTCATCGCCGCCTACAAACGATTTACGGGCCGCAGAGAGATTTGCTCTACAATCACGAGCGACTGCGGCACCAATCTAATAGGTGCGGATGCCGAATTACGGCGACTATTCAAGGCCTCATACGGCGACTATTCAAGGCCTCATCTAAAGAATGGACTCACATCGTCTCCCAGCTTGCCAACGATGGAGTTACGTGAAAGTTTAATCCACCCTCGGCCCCTCACTTTGGAGGAAAGTGGGAAGCCGGGGTGAAGTCTGTCAAATTCCACCTCAGGCGAGTCATAGGTGACACGCTGCTCACCTATGAGGAGTTGAACACGCTCTTAATCCAGATCGAGGCGGTTCTCAACTCTCGCCCTCTAAGCGCTCTCTCGGATGATCCATCGGATGTTTCAGCGCTCACGCCAGGGCATTTTCTCATCGGATCAGTTCTCACCACTGTACCAGAGCCCTCTCTGGGTGATGTCCCAGAATCTCGGCTGTCGCGCTGGCAGCTACTCCGCCTCATGACGGAGTCATTCTGGAAACGTTGGTCTGCCGAATATTTGTCTCAGTTTCAGGTCTCCTCTAAGTGGCACCAAGCGCAAAACTCATTTCAGGTTGGGTCTTTAGTTCTCATCAAGGATGCCTCCTACCAAATGGCCTCTCGCACGCATCATTGACGTGCACAACGGGCCTGACGGACTTATCCGGGTTGCCATTGTGAAGACGGCCAACACTACGCTCAAGAGACCAATTGTCAAATTGTGCTTGCTGCCGGATCCAAATAAAACATAGACATTCTCGCGATAGACTCACGTTCCGTAAATATTGTCAACGCGTACCAAGGCGGGCGGAATGTTAGGAGTTTGACAAAGTGAAAATTATCGCATATCAATCAATCTTATATTTCGGCATTAAAGTCTTCTATCGTTTTAGTTATATTTCATGTTTTTGTATAGCCAATTATTTCAGCGTAAAAAATATGTTATATTCGAGTCTCATTTCGTTACGGCGCCGAGACCTTGACCGATTCCTTGTTGTTTTTCGCTGCCGATCAGCTGTCAATCAGCTGATTCGCATTCAAGTAAACATACGTCATTGCCTCCCCTTTTCACCCCTACAACGGTGAATTCTTTTCTCTGTACATCGTCAAGCAGTTGAGTTCGGTTCTGCCTCAAGCTCGGTTGTCTCTCGAACGCGGATGTGTCTCGATCTCGGTTCCGTCTCAATCTCAATTCTGTGTCTCGAATAAACTCTTAAACGATCAACTCATTTTTTGTCATCTCTCTTAAGCACCGATATTTCATCCTTCCTCTATCCTACCGTTCGGTTAATTTCGATGTCTCCAGCGAATCCGTGAATTTTCATATAGTTCATTCGCAAATACCGGGAGCTTTGAAAATCTCTATCTCTCTCCCCCACAGCAACAAAATCGGAAATTATTATATTTCAATAGGACGATGCTTGCAGATTGTTTTTATATCGAATTCATATAAGCGACAAATTTTGAAAGGATCAGACAAGGGAACTTGTAACGGTCAGGGCATACTATGTAGGTTTTCTGCTACTGTTTATATTTATTTTGCGAGTAATTAAATCAAAACAAACATATTTCGTGAGCAACAAATTAGCAACAAATTCTGACGTTATTTTTATAAATAATTTTGTTGTTATATATATATATTTCTGCTAACTTAATCTTCCTTTAGCAGAACATCATTTTAAAAAAATCTAATAGAGCAACAAATTATTTTCTTTGGCAACTTTTTAGCAACAAATGAGCAACAAAATAATTTCACTAGTTAGAATTGATTCTGCTCATTTTGTTCTGCTAACATATTAGACGTGAGGCTGACCGAGCGACGCGTCGTTCGTGATGTAGTGTCACGTGACGGCTCACGGCAGTGGCGTAGCCGCCACCGCGCGTTGCCAGCCTATCCCCTCCATATGTATTTGTCGTAAATGTACGCTGGATGGAATCCCTGTGTGGAGCATGGAAGTTTACTGTAACGACAATTAATTTGCGCTGAAGATGGCTTGATAGAAGCCGAAACGTTCGCGAAGGAGTAAATGTAAAGGATATTGGAATAAACCAAGAATATATACGCACCAAGAACTGCGTGGGACTCTTAACTGCCTTTTTTCACCTATTTAATATTTGTCAATTTAAAAGTTATTATATTTTAATTATTAATTTTCTTTCTTTTTCCTATACAAATTATTCCAAATGAAACTAATAATTGTTGTTTTTATTGTGTTACAGGATGGATAAAAATGGAAAGGACGACAGACAAAACTAAATAAATGTTTCTACATATATATATATTGTGACCGACTTTTTTCTACGAGTCGGACAACAAGATCGGTCGTTAACCGTCACGACAGTCCGGCGAAACACATTGATTTCATTATCTCGCAATTACGCGGCAACCGAAAACGCGAAGTTGGGCGCCAGGCACGAGCGGGCGTGCCACCCTTCGAATTATTACACGGAAACCCGGTAGAGGGGCGGTTCGCAGGGTGCGGAGAAAGGTGGAAGAGCAAGGGCGAGATAGAATACTCAAAATTGTCTATAACAATTAACAAATATATTTGCGTGTGCTGGAATTCACAGGCGCTTCGTTTGGCCGCGACTAACGCCGCGGCAGCCGTCGGCGGTATCGCCGATGTCGAGATGCGCGCGTCCGGGAACGCTCCCGGAGATAACGGGTGTACAAGCTTTCGCGTTTACGTCTCTTCAAAATTCGCGGAATATCCGATCGCTCTACGCGAGTACGCCTCGCACGGCGTACTACAGATCACACGCCACGTGGCGTCGCGATAATTCGAAGTACTGCCAACATTCGGCACGCTAACACGCAATAATTCTTACATGCAATAACGTAAAAGACACACGGAATAACACTTAATTAACGCACAAGTGATCCGGCTGTGGCAAGGCGAGCGCAAAATACTCTACCCGATTCGCATAACTCTATGCCGGGCGGATGGCGCGGCTTATGGACTCTACACACGAACATACGATTACGCGGACAACGAAACTGCAATAGCGCGATCCGCCCGACAATGAAACCGGTGGCTGACAATAGTAATCTCTAACGTTCGTCTCACCAAGAGCGGCAGCTACGGAAGATGTTCTCTCAAAATATATTCCGGCATTCGGCAACTATGCGGGATCCTGCGTCCTGTCCCACGCGCGACCACAGCACAAGTGTCGCTCGACGGTCCTTCCGGCAGCACGCAGGCAGCAGGGTGTCACGCGATCGGCTGATTGTGCGCCGATTGGCCCTTGCCCTGCGAGCGCGACGCCCGCGAATCGCGACGTCGCACGTGATCAGCTGGCTCGCAACCGGTAGCGCGGACTTCAAGTTAGGCTCGTGTCCCTCATCGTGCTTTGGCATCGACCTTACTCGTCCGCCTCGCCTCAGTACAATTCGCCGTCGACAACCCGATCCTGGCCAGATCGTGAGAGTTCATTGCCTCCGTATTTCCACCCGGATTGCTGAAAGTAATCGGCGGCAGTAAAGAGCTCGTAACAGAGAACATCGAGATAACGTTCGTAGGAACTATGTCTGACCTGCGTGCTCCGTTTCTCCCGCGATGAGCCAGTCGTTCCGAGGCCGATGTCTCTCTCCTTCTCGCTGCTTGGTGTAGACGATTTCCTAATGTCGCCGATCTCCACCTATGGTTACGCTCACGAGGAGAGAGAAAGTTAAATAAAACGCGTGGCAATATATCGGAAAACGCAATGCGCGCGGATACGCTCGCCTCCCTAAATCGGGAAGGACGCAGGATCCCAAAACCGCGCTTCCTCGGTCGGGTATTATGACCCTTGTGACGGACGGTCAAAAACGTCACGTCACAATATATATTATGCATGATTTATAACGTTTATAAAAAATAAGATGTTTTATTTTTAAATGAAAAAAAATAAGCAGTTTAAACTTAATTTTAAAAGTGACTTATTTAACATTATGTTTCCTTTCCTTAACACGAGATAAGTATAAGATCGGTTGAAGAAATTGTTTTTTTTTTTTAATCCAAAGGGTAAATTGGCTTAGAAAAATCGCTCAAAATTATACTATATCAATCGATAGAGAATGTCGAGAAACGTGTTTTGGATCAATGATTTTTGGACCGAATTTTGGAAATTTTAAAAATTTTTTCTGTCCAAAGGGAGTATCAATTTGGAAAAAATCGACTAAAATTGAACTATACTAGTCCATAGAGAATGTTGAGAAACGTGTGTTGGACTTATGATTTTTTGAGCAATTTTTTGTTTTAAATTTGAAATATTTTTTTAAGTTCTGACCCCCTTGAAAAGTGGGAAAAAATGAGGGTGTCTAAAAAATCCGAACTATTGGAATTATATTAAAATTGGACTTTTTTGAAATTTAATTTTTTTTTCCAAAAATCGGAAAATATTACAAATTTTTGTATAGTCAAGATTTGTATAGTCAAGATTTGGTTAGGTTGTGACCGGACTTCACTTCAAAATTATAAATATTTCTACTTTTGACCGGAATTATAATTATCGGACTGTTTTAAGCTGGCTCGAACTTCACCGAAGCGCCTCAGCCTAGATACGGAACTATCCCTATCCGCAAGTTCTCGACTGCTGCTCTCAAACTCTATCTTTAACTTTATCTTTAGCAACACCTTTTATTTAACTATATTAATTATTTACCTTTGTTTCAGACATCAGCCAGCTCAAACCTCAATTGCAAAGTGCCACAGCCTCCGTCCGGGATATCTTACGGTCGCCACCTCGTTTAACCAACAACGAGGAAGGAAGAGCACCGCTGCCTGGAATCTCCGTCGGTGAATGAATCAGCTCGCGGAAGCAGCGGACGTCCTGTCAGCCCTCTGATGGAAGCAGCAAAGCTGGATGCAAACAACGATGCGTGGAGACGAGCGCCGGGATTGTGAGATGCGGTATTCAAGTGATTCCACACAATGAATTGTGTGAATAAAATATGTTTATTAAAAACGATGATTATAATTTCTTCGCACTCACGCACTCGTTTGATCGATAAGGAAAACGAATTTCTTTCGATCTCGGTAAAGCGCACAATACGGACACACGCACCGTGTCGTCGGCCACGACACGAGAATCGCTGTACGCTTGTTCGTAGAAGACACGAATTCCGCGAAAGCCGAAGGATCTCTCACATCCAACGTTTCACGAAACTCGCGAGATCCCGTATGTTTGCAATAATTAAAACCGCACTACGCAGTATCGCGTATTATATGGTGCGCGGTATTCACGA